TTGAGGCCAATATGACAGGAGGGTGGACAGGAAGGAAGCCATAGGCTTTACAGTGCAAACAGGGGATCGTGAGGAGGAAGAGGGTGCCGTCTTCCTACCAGAACAACAACTGGGGAGTAAACCAGGCAGGAAGACCCCAGGCAGATGGGACATGACCATCCCTGAGATGGGAGAAGTATCAGGAGACTCAGCCTGCAGGCCTAACTCTACACAGGGCCTCAGGTAAGCTATTTCCCTTGTCTCAGTTTCCTTGAATGTAAAATAACAGATTAAGGGGTCTCTAACGTTTGTTTTTTTGAGATAGGTTTTGCTATGTATTTCAGGGTGTCTTGAATTCACTGTGTAGCTCAGGCTGGCCTCAAATTTACTGTGCTCTTCCTGCCTCAGCATCCAGAATGCTGGGATTACATGTGTGCACCACGATGCCCAGCTAAAGTTTTTATGATTAAGAAAAATCTTAAGACTATGATACTAAGTCTTCTTAGCTTTAAATAAAAGCAACTCAGGAGATGTGGTGGAGAGGCAGGAAACAGCCTTTGAAATATAGGGCTGGTCGTAGCATAAACAGCAATGACAGTATAGTACTGATATGACTTCTTAAAAGAAGGGTGTGGTGGCCCAGCCTGTAATTCCATCTAATCAGGAAGATAAGGCTGGAGGATGGAAAGTTCAGTGCCAGCCAGGGCATGCTAGTAAGGCCTTGTTTCAAAGTAAGAAATACCAAAAGAGCTGGGGAGGTAGCCCAGCATTCTCTGGGTTCGATCACCAGTACAACCACCACAACAGCAGTAATGAAAATAATAATAATATAAACAAAAGAGAAGCCTCCTTACATTCACCAATCAAAGCTCCATGGCTGGGCTGTCAGTGATCACTCTTCATATCTCGAGGGGTCCAGAGAATGGGCACAAAGACCACTCTGGCCCTCAGGCAGCCCACTGCTTGCTCCTCGCTTGCCAGGGCTCAGTCCAGGCAGAGGGCAGTATTTGTCCTGCCCATCTCTGTGGGACCTGACGCGGGCCGCCTCCCTCTCGCCTCCCTCTCGCCGGCCCTACTTGCTGGCTGTGGCCAGTTCTGCCTCCTCACTGCTGTGAGGCCTTCGGGCTGTTGCCAGGTCTGCGGGGACCAGGAGGGCACATTTAATACTCAGAGGAACATGCTGTTCTCAGTAAAGGTCACTCCGCCTTTATCAGAACCACAGAAGCCCACCAAGTTCAGAGAAACTGTAGCTACTCCATAAGCTTCAGATCACAGATGAGAAAATAGCAACAAATGTTACTGATCTGGCAGTGTGGTGCACTGTGGTGCTGGGTACTTTACAACAATCTTCTTATTTCATTCTTGTGACAAGAAGATGTTACTAGATGTGAAGAAGGTGTTATGTTACTATCCTTATTTTTGAAATGAGAAATCTGAGGTTTTCAGGGGGTAAATAACTTGCTCCCATTTTTTAAAAATTTAATTAAAAAATTACTTGCTACTTGGCCTGTCCAGCATAATCGAAGTATTTGTAGGTAACAGAAAAGGAATCTGAGCCTGGTCCTGCTGTTTCTCAGGTCACTCTTCTTTCCAATAAAACAATCAAAAGTAATCCCAGCACTCAGGGAGGCTGAGGCAGGAGGATCACAAATTCAAGTGCACCCTGGGTAACTTTGCAACTTAGCAAAACCTTGTCTCAAAATATAAAAGGGCTGGGGATTTAGCTCAGTGGCACTGCACTTGCCTTGCAAGCACAAGGTTCTGAATTTGATCCCTGGTACCAAAATAAATAATAATATACAAAAGTAGAGCTGGGGATATAGCTCTCTATGAGAGCCCTGGATTCAATCCCCAGTACCACAAACAAATAAGATCAAAAGTGAGACAACAGGCCATGGATTTAGCTCAGTGGTTCCACTGCCTACCTCACAAGTGCAAGGTCCCAAGCTCAATCTTGGTACCAAAAAAAAAAAAAAAAAAAAAAAAAAAAAAAAAAAAAAAAAAAAAAAAAAAAAAAAAAAAAAAAAAAAAAAAAAAAAAAAAAGTGAGACAAGACTGGGTGTTGCTCAGTGGCATAGGGCTTACCTAGCACATTCAAGGCCAGCACCACAGAAAGTAGAAAAGAATGAGGCATTGTCAGGTACCTTCAGGGCAGCCGGCCCTGTGCCAGGGCAGAGAGGACTGGTTGGGCTCACAATGAAATGCAACATCCTCCTGCCCTTCCAGGCTGTAGGTGAGAATATGGTCTGTAAAGGAGGTTCAAAGGCTTAACAGAGTAGGCCCTGCTCCAGCCTTGCCATCCTGCAGGAAGGGGGCATGGGCCAAGAGGAGGAAGGCGGTGAGGATGCTAAAGTACAGGGATTACAGGGCCTACCTGGTACATTACCAGTGAGGCCAAGGATGCCTCGGTTCCTTCCAGTACAGTCCCTGGGCAAGGAGACGCCCTCCAGTCACTCTGGTCCCTGCAGTCGTTAGACAACTACTTCTCACAGTAGCCACACCTGGATTTTATTCCTTTTCTGTCTCCTCTTTTTGATGGAGACAAGCTGGGATACAGACAGTCTTCAAAGGAAAGATGGCACCTGCCTGTGGGAGTGGACCGCTTTACAACTGTATTACAGTCAAGTGGTGAGTGGACTGTCCACAGCAAGACGAGGGGAAACCACAGGTGACCACCACACCTGTGTCACGGACTCTGGGGCTGACACTGCCAAGCCCTCTATACTCAGTCCCGCGACAACCACACACACAGGGGAATTCTATGGGCCCCAGAGCTCGTACAACTTGAGGGGCCCTTCCCAGGAGGAAATTCAGGGTCAGAATGCAGTACAGGGCTTTGGAAGGACTCATGCATGTGAAGAACCTTGAGCTCCATGGTATATGCATTGCTGTGCCCAAGATAGCTGACCTGGCTCATGCCCACTTTGACACAAACTGAAATCCGGTCTGAGAAGTGACATGGTTTGCCCAAAGTCAAAGCTTAAAAATGGCAAACTAAGGATCTGAACATAGGGTGTTAGACTGCTAATCTCATGTATGTTTCGTTGTGTGGCTTCTAGTCAAAATAGAATTGCTATCACTTATTAAACACCAACTCTGGGCCAGGGATTTAGTTCAGTGGTTCTGGTGCCTGCTTCGCAAGTGCAAGGACCCAAGTTTGATCCCTGATACCAGAAAAAAAAAGAAAAAAGAGAAAACACTCCCTAGTAAACACCAACTCTATCCTAGGAGAAACATACCCATTTTCTTGACTAATTCTTGTCACTTTTCTATCTACATTTGTCGTTATCCCCATTTACAGATAGGGAAACTTGAGCCAAGAAAGATGGGACAAGCAGCCACCAGAGCCCGGCCACTCCTGGAGGTTTTACCCACTGTTCTTCCTCTTCACCACCATCCCACTCAGCCACGCCCCAGCTCATCCAGGACAGGGCAGAATGACATGCTGTGACCTCTGACTGACCACACATCCGTGCACTGAAATCAGCCTTGTCTTTCCCTGCCGTGCCACGTGGTGCCGTGCTCTGGGTGGACAGTTCTGCAGTCTCCTGTACTGTCACTCAGCAGTCAGACAGAGCCTTCCTCATGGAGAGAATTACTTGCGAAGGCTAACACAAACTCAGGCCTCAGCCAGATGCCTGCAGCCATCCCCCAGCGTGAGAGACCCAGAGAATCAGGACTATCCATTGCGGGGACCCTAGAGAGGCCCCTCCCCTGCAGAGCTCCGCGAGACAGCCCTGCAGTGAAGAAAATCCACACAGCTCGAAGTAATGTGTGCGGATGTGCAGGGTGGAACATGAATGCTTGGGAAATCATGGCATCTGAGATGCTCAGAGAGCAGCCCAGTTTTCCTTTCCCTTGCCATTGTGAACTTACTAAAAATTAAATGATTCCTGTTATGGCGGTTTTTTTTTTGTTGTTTTTTTTTTTTTTTTCTTTTGAGACAGGGTCTCACTATGTAATTGAACGTGGAACTCACTATGTAGCCCAGGCTGGTCTCGAACTCACAGCGATCCTCCTGCCTCAGCCACGCAAGTGCTGGGATCACAGGTGTGCGCCACCACACCCGGCATGGCCTTTTTTTTTTTTTTAAACTGCCTTTAATTGCTAGAGTAATTGATTACTTTTTTTGGTTAAAGTAATACGAGTGTTGCCACCTGGGTCAGAGAATGTTACTAGCAAGGAGTAGTGACTCAAACTAGAGCAGGCAGGCAGTTTTATCTGCCTGCAGCAAGTGCAGACCAGAAAGAGCCCTGAGCCTAAGATTGTGGGTGCTCCGGGAAAGGCTGACCCAGACTTGTTGTTGTTGTTAAGGAAAAAGTGATCCGACTAACTCTCCCCCGTTCCTCTTTCCCAGCGCTTGGCGAAGCCAGTGAGAGGGCAAAGAGAGACCAGGCTACTGACGTGAAATCAAGGATGGAGAAGCCTCCCCGCCGGAGCCGGTGTCCAGCCCACCCGGCCTCTCTGGTCTACGCGGCCTCCCTGGTCTACGCCACCAGTACCTGCAGGCGCCAGCCACCAGCGAAGGGCAAGGACGTGGGGCCAGGCGGAGCGGGCGGCGGCTGCGGGACGCAAGGCCGCTAAGCCCGGGCTGGGCACGAAGGAAGTGTCCCAGCCCCGAGGCCCTGCTGCCTGCCAACCCTGCCCGCGCCCTGCCAGCCCGGGGCGGAAGAACGCGCACCACTTCAAAGCTGCGTCCCGCTGCCTTTCATTCGGTTTTGTTTCTCCGTGAGGTGGGTTTGGGCCCAGCTGAGATTGGATTTTCTAGAGCGGTAGGAGAAATGCAAATTCCAGCCAGAAGGGGTGGCCTTGTGAAGCCGAGGTCCGCAGTCTGGTTCATTATTGCAGAAGGGATACAGCCACCTCCGGCGCTCCCCACTCCAGTGGCCCAGGAGGGCAGGGTGTGGGGGTGGCTCCAGTCTGGGGGTGCCGCCCCTGCTGGGGGGGGTTCGCTGGTAAGGTCCGCAGTGGGACTACGCAAACAGGCACACGCGCACTCAGCGCACCCCACCCCACCTCACCTTCTCTACCGTCCGGTCCACGGCCTTCTGGAAGACCCGGGCCACGAGCAGTGTGACGCTGGTCACCAGAAGCAGCAGGGACAGCGTCCCTACCGCGTAGAAGCAGCATCTGCCCATGCTGCGCGCCGCCTCAGACCGTGGCCTGGATGCGAGGAGCGAGAAGCGCCGCTCCGGCCGCCGCGGTGGCGTCCTGAGGACCTGAGGAGCGCGGCCTCCTGGTGTCGGCGGGGCTGGATCTGGGTCCCTGGCCGGTG